TCTAGATATCTGCTAAGCATCACGCTTCTTTCTTTTCTCCTTACACACTCCTTATATAAACATAAGGAATCCTCAGATTTGCCAAAAACCCATCTGTCGACACTCAGGTTCACACAAGTGCTCTTCACCTAGCTCCCAATCTATTAATCCTTACAAAATCTCATTATTCTACCGGCTTTACCCTGGAAGTCATTCTATTGTAATTCGAATTATTTGAACATATCTTCACTGTATTTGGTATCCAAACGATAATAAAAGATAATCTGTTGTACGTCTCGAACATACAACGAACCGGTACACTGTAAATCATTCCTTTAAAACTTAACTGCTTCTACAACGAACAATAACAATCTCCCTCACCTTCTTCCTTTTCTTTTAACTGTCACGACAATTAGAGAACAAAGAAACAAAATGTCATGTAATAATAGAAATGTGTTAACGAAAATGTATAATATTTTTTTATCAATAAAAACTTATTGAAACAATTTTACCATTAAGTATTATCATACAATTTATATCAAATAAATAAGAGAAAAGAGAAAATGAGGGGAAGAGTGATAGAGAGAGGGAGGGAGAGAGAGAGAAAAGTTTTGAGACTTATTAATTGTTAACTTAAAATACTTGGTGACATAATAACCGTGCTATTAATTAATTCACTTTCAATTATTGGTGAAAGCATATATGGGCTAAAGACAAGGGCAAATAAATATTGAGGTGAATATACAAGTGGTGATAATATAAATGGACTAAAAACAAGCGGTGATAAAGCCATAGGATTTAGCAGCAATGGATTTAAAATCATTGGTGATAGTATTAATGGTGTAGCTACTTGCGGTGATAAGATAAATGGTGATAAAGCTAGTGGCGATAGAATTACTGGATTAAATATGCCAGGAGACAAAATAAATGGATGTAATGCTACAGGTGATAATATTATTGGAGAAAAAATGAAAGGATTAAGAATAAATGGTGCAAGAATTCTTGGTGATAAAATTACTGGATTAAAAATCCAAGGACTTAAAATAAAAGGACCAAGAATTGCTGGACTTAAAATTACAGGAGAGAGGACTACTGGAGAAAGTAGGACTGGTTGTGATAATGATCCTCCTGCTAATATAAATGGTGATAATAGGAAGGGTGATAGAGAAATACCAGAACGTTTTTGTCTTCGATGTAATTCACCTGTCTGTAAACCAAAATTTTCTGATTTTGCTAATTTTTTTAAATCATTTTCCAGTGATTTCTGTAATCCATCACTTTGATCCAATAATTTCGACAAGTTTTTTTAAAGCAATTGGATGATAATACGGTGATCGTTGACCATAAATAAGTTTTAGCTGCCTTTTGCTTAATACTGCATAACCGGTAACATTTATTTCACCAATCTGTAAACATTTTTCATATTTTTAAATAATTTATTTCATTTTATTTTTTTTTTAAATAATTTATTTCATTTTCATGAAAAAAACATTCATACATGTTAATATGTCATATATATCATCTATTAATAGTGTAATATAAATTAAATGAATTAAATGATGTTAAAAATCGGAAGTACAAAGATCAGGAACGAAAAAAAAACAGCTCGAAATGTTACGTTTAATAATTAGAATTAATGCTTTTTTTTGAATTAAATTGCAATATTATAAATTGAGAAATGAAAAAATTACTATAAATGAATACTATGCAAATGTTATGTGAATATATCATAAATTAATTTTTAATTAATTTTAATAACTAGGAAGTGAATAAATGCAAGAGAAGTAATTCAAATCTTTTCTACAACAATTTGGGATAAATTATTATTTCTGAAAATGGAATTTTTGTTTAGTAATGAAATTAACCTTACTTTAATTCGATCCTAATTTAGATCTTAATTTGATTTGTTTATTTTAAATATAACTTAAAAATTTGAAACAAAGAAAAAAAAGAACTTGTTGTTTGCTTAATGTTTTGTAAAGCCTCTCAAATATATCCACTTTATTGCGTTCTATTTCGCCATATAATTCGCTAACATTTTGTTTTGTAAAATATAATGGTTGCCCATTAATACCTTTGGCATGACGTATGTTATTATTTTCCATTTCAAGTTTTTCCTAAAATATCAAAAGATATTCTATTAAAATTTAAATATATTTCAATTAATTTTCGCTTATTTTTATCTATTTCAAAATTTGTTTAATTCAATCTAAATTTTAATTTTGTTAGAATCTGTGTACTTGGAATTTATTTACTAAAATTTCATATCAAAAAAAACTGATTTATGTTTGTGTGTATATTTTTTTTCATTTTGAATTTAAAATTTAATAGGTTTATTCATTGTTAGTTGACAGTTATACACTAATTGGTCTAATCTAAATTTAATTTGAATTATATTAAATATGAATTGATTATGCATTGGTTACAAATATTGCAAACATATGAAACGTATTTTCTCATTTCTTTTTTTTATTCAATAAAAATTTCAATTTATAATTGAACATTAAATATTTCGACTAAAAATATAAAAACATGTAAACAAACATGAATTTGTTGTATAGCATCAGTAAGTCCAGATGCTTCAGTAATTAATTCAAGTAATTCATTTTGATCATATTCATTCATCAATTTGAATGCACCAAGTAATCCTGATATGCTCAATTTACGCTCCATACTATCACCCTCATTATGCAAACTTAAAATTGATGGTGATAGTAAATTTACCTGGAATGAGATCAGTATACAAAATGAACTACTTCATTTTATACCTGTATTTATATTTGAAACTGAATTTTGCAAATAATTTAGTGAAACTTCTATGATCAAACTTTTCAGCTAACATTTTCTGGGAATGTAATATTGAAATTCAAAATTAGCATACATACACATATACTTGATTAGATGATGGTAATAGTTTTGAAATCAAGCAAAATTAAATCTTCTTGATGACAAACATTATCCAGTTAGGTTAAATTTTTTAAATTTTTTAATCAAACCCAAAAAGTATGATAGATAAATGAAATGTATGATTAATCGACCAATAAGGGAAAAATTACACCGCAATAATGTTATGAAAATTTGAAAACATAAAATTAAATTCAACTTTAAATTTGAATTTTTAACTTTACAAAAATAATAATCATTCTCAAAATTTACATAAAAAAAGAAAAATAAAAAGGTGATAATTATTGAAATGAGAAGAGAAATGGAAACATACGGTATTTTGTTTATTATCATCTGGTAAAATTGAAAAAAATCTTGGTGATGCTATGCGAATTGTTTTATTATGCATATTTGAAATGCTTTTATTTGACATTGCAATTGCAAGCATTGCACCATTACGAAGTAATGTTGAAAATGATTTTGCTAATAATTGCGTACGATTAGGTCGTAATTTCATCTTCCTCCTTGGATCGATTAATATTTTTAAGACGTGTGAAATTTTAATACCCTAAAAAAAATTTTTCATTATGTACTTTTTTTTCCTTTTTTTTTTGCACTAATTATTCATTCTATAATTATTCATTAAAAGAATTTGGGGAAAAAAAGTATTTGTAGTTATTCATTAAATCTACAATTATTTATTAAAAAAATTTGAAAAAAAGAAACAAACATTATTTTGGGCTTTAATTTCAAACATTTTTAATAATTCCTCTCGTTCCTTCATTTGCATAGCTAAATGTTGTATTTCAGCTATTGTTGTTGACCATCTGAAAATAAATTTATGCTTAATTGAAGAGAAGCTTATCAGATAAATTCAAATTCTTAAATAATTCTGGATGATACTTTTTAAGATAAGATTGTCAATTAAAGTAATAATTTTTATTTCAGCTTTTTCCAGAATACACTTCTAATAATTTAAAAAAAAAATAGCTTAAAAATTCAAAAATAAAAAAAAAACTAATTATTAAAAAAATTTGAAATTTCAAAAAATTTGGTCAAGAAAAAATTTGAAAAAAAATTGGTGACAAAATTTGAAACTTACGTTTTGGAAGTCTTTTGACGTTTTAATTTTTGAAGAATTTTTTTCACTCCACTTATAATCATTCCAAAAGTTGTTTTTGTATCTTTATCAGTTAATAAATGATATGATTTTTTATTAATTCTTTTTATTTTCCATTTCGTCTTCTCCACTGCTCGTTTCTGTCGAGCAATGCGAAATTTACCTATCCAATAATCATTAGCCTTTGACATATATTTCCGATTTCGGTCAATTTTAGCATCTGGCTTACGTGCGTTAATTTTTCGAATTGGAAAATATTTGAGCATTTCGTATTTTCGTTTTACATTTCCGAATTTACGAATTTTAACTGAAATGGAAGAAAAGAAATTTATTGAAAAAAAATCGCTATTAATATCAAGAATATCCTCATGTTGAATTAAACTAAATCTTCTATTAAGAATCAAATTTTAGTTTATAAAAAAAAAAAATTTTTTTTCCAATGTATATCACATTGATCTCCTAATACTGGTCATAGTGGTCATCTTTTCTTTTTTTTTTCTAACACAAAATTTTAGAATATATAAATGCGCTTTTGACCATCTACTCTGTTATTTTTTGAAAGATTTTCAAAATTTTATGAAAATTTCAAAAAAAAAATTGACAAACTTTGTTTCATCTTCTCTAACATTAACAAATCCACAGCACATTTTGCATGTTTTGTAATCGAATTTGCTTCTTTAGAACAATGATAAAATTTTTCATCATTTTGATGTTTAAACATTTTCATCCTAAAAATTGCAAGAAGAAAAAAAGAAAAAAAACAGGTAATTGTTAAAATTCAAAAAAGTTTGATATCAGAATTACTGATAACATATTTTTCATGCAATTAATTTAATTGTTAAAATTCAAAAAAGTTTAATATCAGAATTGCTGATAACACAATTTTCATGTAATTAATTTAATTGCTAAAATTCAAAAAAGTTTGATATCAGAATTGCTGATAACACGCTTTTCATATAATTAATTTAATTGTTAAAATTCAAAAAAGTTTGGTATCAGAATTATCAATAACAATAAAATTTTCACATAATCAATTTAATTGTTGAAATTCAAAAAAGTTTGGCATCAAAATTATTGGTAATAATAAAAGCTTTCACATAATCAATTTATCTGTTAAAATTCAAAAAATTTTGATATCAGAATCACTGATAATGCTATTTTCATGTAATTAATTTAATTGTTAAAATTCAAAAAAAGTTTGATGTCAGAACTATTGATAATAATAAAATTTTCATATAATTAATTTTTCACATACAGCTTTCATATATTCGCAGAATTATGTGCAAAAACTAAAACTATGCTATCAATTTTAACAATTGAAAAAAAAAAAGCAGAACAAAAGCAGAACAAAAGCTAACCATTAAAAATATCATCTGTTGCTTGTAAAGTATCATCAAATATACATTAATCAATAATTACTTAAATATTATGGTAATTAATATTAAATTTTTTAAAGCATTACTTGATATGACTTAATTAAAAAATAATGAAAATTTCGAAATTAAATTAACCTTTTACTTGCAAAAGCAGCTATAAAACCACTAGCAGCTTGTTGAATCCAATGATTTAACAATTGAATACTGGCATTTTTAGAAAGTGGTAATATAATCTTATTACCATCATAAAAATGATCATTAAGTACATTGCTTACTCCTTCTTCTTCTTCATCAACACTCTTCGATAATACCGATTTATGAAGTAGTAGTAGGAGAAGAAATATGATGATATGATACATCCGAATACTCTATATTATCAAATAATTAAGTATTAAATTATATATAAGTAAGGTAATACATAGATTTTATTATAAATATTAAATTTCAGGTGAAGTAATAATAAGTAAAACATTGATTATTTCAATTTTTTTTCCGTTTTTTTTACATTGTACTACATTACAGTGATCATTTAGGAAATTATCATTTATTTAATTATTAAATGAAATTATTTCATAGAAATATGATTTACAAACTAATATCAATTATCGGTAATTACCGTTAAATAATTACATATTTTTATTTTTATTTCTAAAATATCAAATTGATGCATATATCATTTATCATTGTAATATCTATTTGGATTGCTAACAACCTAATTTCTTGCTTAATTTCTTTATTTTAAATTAAACCTTAATTTCTTTGTTTTAGCATAATTTCTTTATTTTAAATTAAAATTACAAAATATAATTTGCTTCAAGAAGAAGAAAATTTGTTAAATAATAATATTTTTTATGTTATGCAAATGAATGAATAAGATTTGGTTGAGACAAAAAAAAAAAAAAGAAATACAATTATTTGGTAGCAGAAAAAAGAATACCGTAAAATTAGGTCAGTACAAAATAACAAACATATATTACCAACAATTTCCATTTTAATTAAGGAATGGAGTAAAAGTATAAAATAGAAGTTGGAGCAAAAAAAAAAAATAGTTAATTAATTGAAACTGGTTTCATTCATTAACCAAATAACTATTTGCATTAAACAAATTATTTCTCATTTCTGATTGATCTAACGATGATTGCATAAAAAAAAAAATCGATATTGGATATAAGTTTTATTTTCGAGTATTTAAATTTTTGAATTGCCAAGAATGCATGCCTTAGCTAATCTTGCATTTTTTAAAATTTATGTACTGGTGAAGAAAAAGGTTGAAATCATGAAATTTGCTTGAT